TCATTTAACAGTAAAATATTGCTTGAGCCCATTCTCTCTTATTCCTCTGCAGCCATGCCTAGCTCCTGGAGACAGGAATGTAAGGACAGGCGTTAGTGCCTGCTACCAACTGCATTTTGAGTATGTCTGAGGATGTTCCCAATTCCTAAGGGGGTTTTGGTGCCTCTCAAGCCTTTGGTCAGACCAAAAACCAGATATCTGTTACCTGATTGCTTCCTTGAAAGGTTTTCAGCTTCCGTCCTCATCTCCTCCAGAGGTCCTATCATCCTTCCTCTCTCTATCTCCTTCTTCCCCTCTCCTTCAATCCTAGCCTCCCCCCAGACAATCCTAGGTCAGGAAATGAGTGAAGGAAAGACAGGAGAACAGGCTCTGGCTCCTCTTAGTGACCAGAGTCAGGGTGGGGTGAGGTGGGTGAGGACTGGGGCTCAGAAGAAGGAGAGAGGCTCACTGAAGGACCCTGCCAGTGCAGAGACTGCAGATCGAGAGAGACAGAGACAGTGGAACTTGGGATACGAAGGAGAGTTCAGAAAGATCGAGAGAAGCAGATGTCAATGAGGAGTTTAGAGACTGACAGACCTGTCCACAGGTGTCAGGGAAGAGGCGACAGGGTGTGGATTGAAGACCTTTAAAACCCTCTCCATTGAGATTCTGTTCCCAAGAGGATAGGCAAAAACTTCACAGAGAAAATGTGGTCTTAGAGTTGTATAAATATGAGCATCACAGAAGGAAAGGTGGAAAGTCATGGAGGGCAGTGGGATGTGTGTGTGTGAGGGGGTGGATTTGAGGTCCTACCTGCTTTGATCGCTGTCCCTCTATTCCCCAGGCCTGAAGCCTCAGGAAAAAGGCTCTGTCCCAGACTGGGCCATTGTGTTGATCACTCTCACTTTGGTGGCAGCAATCGTCAGCTTACTGTATTGTATCAAAAAGGTGAGTGAAACTGGTCTGAATGCATGGGTCCCTAAGGCCGGTGGGGCTGGGACCTGGTGCCCTAGGGTTCTGAGAAGAACAAGGACTTCAGAGAGAAGTAGGGCAGCTTGCTATACTTAGGGAGGGATAAGGGGAAAAAGGAACTCGTTTGGGTGGCTGAGAGGAAACATTGACCAGGCAGGGATGGGAGCTTGGGGCCACTGACAGAAAATCTGAGGAGTGCTGGAGACTGACCAGCACGCGGAAGGCTAAATCCAGCTCTTGGCAGTAAAGAATCAGCTCTGTGGAGCAACATTTTGAATCCTGGCTCTGCCATTACAGCTGTGTGATCTTGTATAAGTTACTTAAACTCTCTGTGCTCCAGATTCCTCATTACTACTAATAATGAGCAATACTTAAATAGCATTTATTATGTGTCAGGTGCTGTACCTATTTTAGTTCATGGCAACCCTGTGATATAGGTAATACTGAGGTAATTGAGTCCTAGATAAAATGAGAATGATAGTATCCATCTCAAAGGGCTGTTGGAGGATGAAATGAGCTTATGCATATAAAGCACTTAGGTGCTTGGCACATAGTAAGTGCTCAATAAATTTGTCTGCTTCATTAGTATTGTTTTTGCTGGAAGAGGAGCACTGAGAAGCTGAGTTGTGGAGAAGAGGCTGCCGTCCAGGTTCCTGGCGCCCTTGGTTAACCCATCCTATCCATTCCTTATCTCACAGGCCTGCCAGTTCCGGAAGGAGATGAGTATGGGGTGTGGCTGTGGCTCTGTGACCCCTTATGGCTGCCACCACGAGGCTACCAGCCAGCGCTACTTGGTCAAGTGAACATGGGTCAAGATAGCCAAATCCTTCTTTGGCCTTCTTCTTCCTCCCTTAAACAGACTCATTCAAAACAAAACAAAACAAAACAAAACAAAACATAACAAAACAAACTCATGGAGGTAGACAACAGATTAGTGGTTCCCCAGGAGATGGGGGTGGGAATGGGGATGGGGTGAGGAAAGAATGAAATGGGCAAACGGGGTCAAGTGTATGGTGATAGATGGAAATTAAACTTTTGGTGGTGAGCACCATGCAGTATATACAGATGTTGAATTATAATGTTGTACACCTGAAACTTACATAATGTTATAAACCAATGTTACCTCAAAAAAAAAAAAAAAGACATTTGGGGGACAATTAAGAAAAACTAAACCCCACCCTGCCAAAACAAAAAAAGACACAACCTTCCATTCGCATTAACTGGGACCATTTCCTGAGGGTGGATTCCTGTGGCCAGGGGGCCCCAGGTCTCCTCCACCAACAGTGTAAGGGAAAGTTCACTGAGGGGGAGGTGGAGATTTCAGTCTGGCACCTGCTGTCAGCATGCCATCTGACACCTAACCTTTCTGACAGTTTCTCATCTGTAGAAGAAAGGACCAGGACTAGATGGTGTCCGGGGTCTTCCAGCCCTCATAGCTTCTGGCTCCAAGTAGTTGGAACCTTTGCCCCTCACCATTTCTTCCCATTCCCACTCTTTTTCCCAACTATCACAGATGCTCCTTAGCTGAGGACAATTTGCTTGGGCTCCTTAGGACACAGGAGGGGGACTCCCCCTTCACAGCTCTTTTCATATGGTGCCCCCTTGGGCTGGCTCCATAGAGCCCTGATTCTCTCAGCTCAAGACAGGTGAGGAATCCTGCTCTGCGATGCCCACTCTGGGTGGGTGGTGGACACAATTCTTGCTAAGTAAAACAGCATCTCCTCCACTGGTCTCCTAGCCACTGTGTATTTATTTGCTCAAGTGCTTGGGTTTTGCCGTGAGGCAGGCACCAGCTGAGTCTGGCCTCTGCTGCTTACCAGCTGTATGACCTTGGGCAAGTCACTTCTCTGATCTGAGATTGTTTATTCTTATCTTTAAAACAGGGCTGACATTGCTATCCTCAGAGGTTATAACAAGATAAGGCGCTCAGCACATTCTTTGGTGTATTGAAATGCTCTAAGGTCAGTAGCTAGTACAGTTGTTTTGTGACCAGCTCTTCAGTCTGTAGCTCAGACATAACAACCTCGAATTACACTTGAGCCTCCATCTACCTCCAGGTTCTTCTACCCCATATACCTGGGACCTCTAGGAGAGATTGGAGCTAAAAAGAAGAGAGGATGTTTATTTACATAATGAAAACAGATTCTCAGCCTCAGCACTATTGACATATAGGACTGAAGAGTTCTTTGTTGTGGGGATGGTCTGTGCATTATAGAATGTTTAGCAGCATCTCTGCTTTCTACTCACTATATGCTAGTAGCAGCCCCCTTCCAGATGTGACAAGAACGTCTTCAGATGTGACAAGAATGTCTCCAGACATTGCCAAATGTCCCCTGGGGAGCAAAATTGTCCCTCCTTGTTGAGAACTACTTTCTTAGAGGCCTGGATCTCTGGGGGAAAGAGCGGGCTGGCATACTAGTGGAAAGGACTCAGTCACTCCTGAGTCCAGATGGAGTTACAAGGGAGGGCCTGCCTCTGCCTCAGTTTTCCCATCCTGCAGGATGCATTGTCTGAGAGGCAAGCTGCCCAGTCTGAGTAGTCAGTCTTGGCCTGACTCCAGGGAGCCTCATTAATCTCTCATTAATCACATTAATGAACAGTTGACCTGTTCTCTTCTTCCCACCTATTCCAGCCCTGCCTACGGCTTAGGGACTAGTCATGCCAAATAATGGGAGGAATTCACATGTTCAGCTATCTAGTTCTCTCATGAGCCCCATTACTACAAGGCCTTGGCTTCTTGCCTTCTAGGTCCTGGCCTTCACTCCCTGTGCCTGCACCACTCTCCTAGAAGGGCAGTAGCCAGCTCTGGCTTCCACTCCATTCAGCTCACTAAACACATTGATTGTCCACTGTGTGCCAGGCACTGATCCAGAGGCTGAGGAGGCAGCAGTGACCAAGGCAAAGCCCTTGCCTGCTGGGTGCTTACTTTCCATGAGAGGAGACGCACAGTGAACAAATTAAGTGAGCAATGGGGTGTGACTTAGATACCTTGACCCACAGCTTTCTCACTCCTTAGAGGTGCCCCCCCTACTCCCATAGTCTGTCCTGTGCCACCCCTAGACACTGCTACTTAGGAGCCTAGTGTATGAATTTGAATAATCTCTGACCCAGTGCTTGCTTCAGGCAAGGAATCAGGAGGAAGGGAAGAGGGAGACTCTGGGAGATCCTAGAAAGGGAGGATCTGCATTTCTGTGTAGGGGTAGATGGGGGCTTGGAAGCAAGAAAGGGCCTTTGGGCTAAGGTGGGGGTGAAGGGGTGAAGGGAAGTCAGAGTCTCCTGTAACTGAACATATCTGCCAAAGATCTCGGCCTCAGTGCTTCTGGGTGGCCTGAACCTGTCTTTGTCCCTGGTGAGGCATGCGATGTCAGATCCTGGGGTTTTGTGTCTGTCTGGTCTCTTGTCTCTGTCACTGACTTAACCATCTCTATATGCTGTGTTATCTCTGGACATCTGGGGGTGCCTGTGTCTGCAGTGGCGGGCCACGTGAGGGCTTCTTCTTCTTTGCTCTTTCACCTGATACTCATGAGCAGCTCCACCCAGGGCAAAAAGAGTGGCCATGTGTGAATAAGAGGTGTGGAGAGCTGGGCTGATGTGAGAGAGACAGGAGAGTGAATGTGAAGCTAGAGAAGAACTAGAATTTGAATCTCCTCCTGAACCCAGGCATCCAATCTTCCTCCTCCCCATCTTGCCCAGCCAGAACTCAGTCCTTCTAGAACCCTGCCATCTACTCCTCACTTCTCCAGAACCCTGGAATCCACCCCCCCCACCCAATGCTCTCTCCCTCCACTGGGCTGAGTCAGGAGCCTGCCCTCTCCCAGCTCCTTTTCCCTCCCTCAGATCCCACCCCTGTGGCAGGCACCCAGGTACTTGGCTCCCTGACGCAGCACCTGCGGTCTCCCATTATCAGGGCACCCCTGTGGGGTGAGGCAGCTTTGTTTGTTTAAGGCTTAGGCCTGAGGGGCCCCAACCCCCATGACGTCAAATCTGGCCCCATATAAGGTGGGAGACCCCAGCCCACAGCCTCAAGCAGCCGTCCAGCGCAGTTGAACATGGCCCAGCTGGCTCACTGCATCCGCTCCACCTTTGGCCTCCACTGCTGCCTTCTCTTCCTTCTAGCTTCTCGGGAGGCAGGTAAGATGCCCTCAGAGGCAAAGGGGTCACCATTATACAGGGGATAGAAGACAGAGAGGGCTTGTTTCTTAGCATTTATAAGGTTGAATGACCAATCATAGAAATGACCTGTGGATGAATGTGTGTTGAGAAGAGAGTTAGGTATGAGGCTGTTGCATACAGTTGTCAAGGATGTTTACTGCTCAAGTTTGCTGACTGAGGGGCATGTCGGAGATGAAATTCAGCCTAGGTTCTGCTCCTTCTTTTGGTTGGCATAAAGCCACTGTATAGGCTGACAGTCCTTGGTGGGCAGCAGCAGGAACCTGACATTCCCTGAGCATCTGCTATGTGCAAGGAACTCACAGGGGCTCAGAGTATTTCATCTCATTTCATCTCCTCAAATTCCCTGAAGTGGTTAATAATATCCCATTTTATGAGGAGAGTGAGACTTTGGGAGGTGAGGACCTTGCTCAAAGTCATGGAGGCAAGCAGGTTTCTACCACTCCACACTGCCTGCTGCCCTTGGGAGGTATGGGGTTCATTTCTCTCATGAGAGTCCTATTTTATGCTGACCTGAGTTCCAGTCCTGACTCTGGCCCACTTGATTAGTTCACACATCTATAAAATGGGAAGGATGCTACCTGGACAATGCCAATCATTGGTGTTTACTGAGCATTTACCATGTGTCAGGCATTGTTCTAGGCACTTCATCCGTGTTTACTTATTTAATCCTCATGGCAACTCAATTAGATGTGTGGGGTTTTGTCTCCACTTTATGGTCAGGAAATATCCCCGGGCTTCAAAGAGAAAATGAATATGGAAAAGTTTAACAAGCTAAGCAGACTCTACAAGATAAAGTGAAATCACCAAATTATTTCACTTAGTTAAGAAACAGTTCTGTGACTGAACCCAGGGAGCGGAGATGCCAAACACAAGGGGAGATTGAAGGGGGCCTGGGTGAATCAGAAGAGGGTCTTCACAAGGTAGACACACAAAAATAGACCTAGAGAGGCTCTATGTCCTAGATAAAGTCATTTACAGTAATGGTGCTGATGCTAGGACCAGGGTCGGGAAAGTCGTGAGTCTGGATGCTCTGGGCAGTATTTGGGGCAGGGCAGGCTGCAGCTTCCCCTTCTAAGTGTGTTTGGCTAAGGGTGGCATTAGAGGATGTTTCTCTTTCTCTGAGCTCAGGGTCATTTTAGGGTCAGAGCATTGGGTAGAATATGGATGGTAGGGGCAGTGGCTGAAAAATTTTCAAGTTGCCTCTGCTAGGTCTCAGCAGTCCTCTGCGGGTAGTGGGTCCATACGTTTGACAAGCTCTCAGGGTCCCATTGAAATTGGGAATTAGACCCAATTTCTGTCCTGAATTGATGCCTTCCTCCCACATCGAGAGTTTTGGTATAGAGGCACCAGAGCTGCTGTCAGCTGCCCAATCTCACCACCTTCAGGCTGATTGTGCCATTTGCTGCTTTGTATTACCTCCTCCTGTGGCTGCCCAGGAAGAGGAACCTGTACGGGCAGAAGGGAATGAATCATGAATCTGCTCCACGCACATTCACTTTTGAGGGAGATTTACTTTAGGGCACAGGGCAGACTTAGAATTTGAATTCTGAGATAAGACACTGTGGGCCAGGTGAGTGTGTTCTGGGAGATGGTCACACTAGAGCTTGGCTAGTGAAGAGATGGAGAGGAGGGGTGCGGAAGGCAAGGGCGGCTGGATGTTCAGATCTGAAGAGGAAAGCAGGAGTGTGTGAAAGGTGGGGAGAGCTTGAGCCTGGGCTGGAGTTGGGATGCATTCAGGGTGGAACTGGGTGTGAGCACATGACTCTATCCAGCAGAGAGAGAGAGAGGCTGGGGTAGGGAGGGAAGAGTGATGTCTAGAGTGGATGAAGACCTTCATCTTACAGTTCTGGGAGGACCTCTGTCATTTATCCACAGGACCAGTGAGTTTCCAGACTTAGGTAACTAGATCCTAGAACCTCAGAGTCTGCATCATGCAGACACAGAAACATAGGTTAAATCATCTAGATTAAATCATCTCTGAGGAGAACACAGGTGAAGCTGGGATCCTGTGGAGACTAAAAAGGACCTTTTCCTGTGTTAAATGTTATTTCATTTAATTTCTATGACAAAAATGATATCTGCTTATTTTAGAAATTAAAAAATAGAAAATATTAGAAAGAAAAAGAAAATCTCTCTTAATACTCTCTAGCCACCTGGGCAACCATTTGAGTGTGTTTCTCTTTAGTCTTTTACTATGTCTGTGTTTTCGGTCACATATTGAGCTTAAAGTATATAGACATTTTAACAAGCATTTACCTACATCATAGCAAATGAGATAGCCATTTTTGAGAGGCAGGATACTAAGAAATACCAGAAATGCTCTTTTCGGGGAGACTGATCTGACAGTATGAGCGACTTAGCAGCTTGTCCACCTTCTCTTCAAACAAGTAAATGAAACAGATTGAACAGACCTTTACAGTTGTACATAGTTTTGATGCTGTGAGATTTGTTTTTATTCTTTTATCCAGGCTAAGCATCCATGTCCAGTGTCTTCTGCTAATGCCAGATTTTCTTCTCTGCCTATACCTCAATGACCAAAAAAGTTCTTTACAGGCCACTATTGCAGTCAGTGAAATGATTGTGAGAATTTCCTAGGGAAATAAAGTTGCTACCAATGACAGATCTACTGAGGAAAAGAGGTAGTCGTCTTTCATGGGGGTTTAGTTTCTGATTTGCATCATGGCTGGGCCCAAGGGTTCCCTGCAGCTTTGACTCTTTGTGAATGGAGTAGACGTTTCTGAGAGGCAGATTTTACAGTCGATGGTTCCACAGCAGTGTGATGTGGATCTGAATTCTAAGATCAATTATTCGAGTCTAGTTATTGACTGTGTGGCTGCTGTGGTTAAAAGACAACTGGTGTCCCAGGACTGGGCTAGAGGCCTTTCACCGTCTTTCATCTCAGGGGCTCAGTTACTAACAGAGCATAAGTTATCCCTTGGTCTTTCAACCTTTGGAGGTCACAATATGTTGTTTTATACATAATGTGCATAATGAAAGTTGTTAGCAAGGCTTCTAAAGAGTTCATAGGTCTAAAATATTTCCTCATTCATTCATTAAACAAATATTTATGAAGTGCCTCCCTCCTTATGGACCAGACATTGTTCTAGGCCAGTGATGAATAGAAAAATAAAAATCTCTACCATTGTGAGAATTAAACAATTTATTGTACATTAGAAAGGTGTGAGTGTTATATTGATGAGACACAGAAGGAAGTGGCCCAGCAATGCTTCAGAGTTACATAGAACAGGTGGGTGAGGAGGGACACGGTGGACTGCAGAACACAGGAGAGCAGGGCTGTGGCTCCAGGTCCCCTTGCTATCAGGAGAAGAACAGGGCAAAGTACGAGGTTGTTTGAAAGACTACATTTCAGATTCAATAAATACTTTAAAGAGTCAGCGATGCTGCAGACTTTTCTGTTCCATCCTTCCTTTAATCCTCAAACTAAGCTGGTGCAGTTGACATCACTGTTATGAGAAACCAAGCCTGGACCCCAATCCTGTCCTTTGATTCTTTAAGGCCAGTGAAGTTGTCATTCTGCGCTGCTGCCTGCTTATTTATTTACTCTGTGGATATTTATTCACCCTTATCACATTTAAAAACATTTGAAAAGCCTGACTTTGCCAATCACTTTACCTCTTTGAACCTCCTTTCCTCACCTGTAAGACAGTAAGATCATATACTTGCCTCACAGGTTTGTGGTGAGGATTAGAAAAACAAGTATATAAACAGCATCCTTCAGGGGTTCCACAAATGTCAGCTGACCTACAGGCTGTGTAGTGTGGTAAGAACCTAGGCCTGGGCGCCAGGAACCCAGAATGTATGTTCACTTCTGGCTCAACTTCTTACCTGCTGAGGATCCTTGTGGAGATACTTAACTCCTCTGAACCTTGTTTTCTCATATCTAAAAAGGGGAGAGAATGAGAAATAGCTCTCAACCCCAAAGGGTTGTTGTGAAAAGTAATGAGTTAATGTATGTCCTCATTTGTAGGACTTGCCTGTCTCACAGTCAGTGCTCAAAAAATTGGCCAATGTTATTGCTGGGGATTGTGTGCAAGGCACCATTCCTTCGTGAAACTCAAGTTTCTTGGCTATAAAATAGGGAAGTTGACAGTTTTTAAGGTGCCATGTGGGGAGCTTGGAGATCAATCACCATAGAAAAGAATCCAGAAAAAGAATGTCTGTGAGGCAACCAGCCAAGTGCCTGGCCCGGAAAAGGTGCCCAGTGAACGAGAGCTAGTAATGGTATTGCTGTCAAGGGAATCAGAGAATGGAGCTGGCATAGTCAGGTGAGGGCCTGACAATTCAGCCCTCTTCTCTCTCCCCAACCCTGATTTCCTCCAGGGACTTGGGCTTCTCTACTACCTTCACACCCTTCTTGTTCCACCCATATTTCTTTCAAGGACCGAGTTTCCCAGCCCCCAACTCTCCTTGTCATCAGGGAGGTGGGTGGATTACGATTTCCTGTGATTGGGAATGGGTCAAAGTTCTGGTTGCCACCTTGAACTAATAGAGACTGGAAACCTTAGTTAGGTAACAACACTATCTCTCTCATTCTTTGGTGATCTCCTGGCTCTTATTCTCCTGGCTGGATATCAGAGACATCTCCTCTGTCTCCACTGGTTGTTTTCCCACAGAATTAAGGCCCATATCTGTTCATTGATAGGGGTGTTTTCCCTCACACCCTGTCCTTAAACATAGTCAGTTTCTCCCAGAATACAGCTGCCTCGTTCATTCTTTTCAAGACCCCTGAGCAAGTATCTTTTTCTCTTAAGAGGCCACCTTCATCTATCCCAGATGGCTTTAGTTGTGATTTTTCTAAGAGTGGGATCCAGTGGCGGAACCAGAGAGTTGAATCATCTCATCTACTTCCCTCTATCTAGACCAAACAAAATGAAAGTTTCCCATTCTCCATTTCTCTTCTTATCCTTCTCTCACTCATCATCTGTTTCTATTTACTAATCCTTACGGGAAGTTCTGCCAGAGGTCTTACTTCAATCGCTCGCATTGTCACATTTGAGATGGAGCTGGGATGTTATGGACAGAAGAGGATTCTGTTATTTATTCCCTTTCTTCTCTGCCATCAAAAGGGAACTCCCTTTCATAAGTATTATATAAACCTTAGTGAAGCCCTTGCGGAGCAAAATGCCAGTCAATATCTGCTCTCAAAATTTATGATTTGATAGGCAGGGCAAGGGGTAGAGGTTGACAGGCACACAAACATCTGTAATTTCAAGATGAAGGTAGCAGGAAAGAGTAATTAACAAATTTTTTTGTGAGCACTGAGATGAAGCTGAATCTTATCTGCTTGGAAGGATCAGGGAAGACATTATAAATCTAGAAAGATCTAAAAGTGAGAAATGAAGAGTGGAGGTGGAGAAGAGGTGAAGTGGCATTATTGCTGAAGGCACAGCCTAAACAAAGGTTCAGAGACTGGAGGTGAGAATGGAGATTAGTTATCATTGTATTCTGAGGAGATTGGCTGGGGAGATATATCTGGAGTAATAAAGGGACCTCTAGAGATGGAGGTGGGCAGGGAAGCAAGAAAGAAAGTGGAGAAAGTTTCTTACTTGATTCTCTCCTTTTACAGGTGCTACTGCATTTCAAGAATTTCATAAAATTGGTGAATCCCCCAAATCTGGTCATTTATCTGCTCCTACCCCAGGCTCTGTTTATAGTACTCCGTCTGACCACACTGGTCTTCGTTTAGGACACAGCTCTATGGACCACACTAAATCTGCAGAAACCTATCGGCCTAAACACCATTGCAAATCCACACACCATTCCAAGCAGATTCACAAATCTATAGGTAACTCCAAAAACTCTGTAACTCATCATGAAGCTCCTCCTACTTCTGAACAAACCCCCGGCAATCAAGAAAAAGGTCCACTTATCTGGGACAAACGCTCTATCCATCCAACTGACTCCATTAACACACTTAAAAAATCATCTGATACAAAATATCCAACCACAAAATCCAAGAGCAAAATAACTTGTCCTAAGTCCAAAACAAGCAGACAGACAGTAACAAGAAACTCAAATAAAAGTGTAACACCTTTGGGAAATACCGTCATTATTTTAGACAGTAAAAGCACCACCTCATGCAAGACCACAACTCTTACCCACAACTCAGTCAATTCAGACATTAACAAAAAACTCACATCTTCCTCAGAAAAGAGCACAACATTCACAAATATATCATACAAGGCTACAAGAAGCATAGAAATGACAGAAAGAATTAACAATCATACAATAGCTACTGATTACAAAACTACAGTTGTCTCGGATAAGACACAAACAAAGGCTAGAAAACAAACACCGGAGATGCCAACAGGAGCTGAGAAGCATACACAGACACCAGAAAAACCTACTTTTAATAAAAAAGAGAGCACATCGGCCATTATGATGGTGACAAGAACCATAGAAATGCCTACAAAATATGGAAAACGGAGCACATCTGCTCATGTGAA